CATATATGGACGAGTTTAAGAAAATTTCAAAACCCAACTTATAAAATTCCATCTCCACGAGTAAAATCACATCCCTCATCTATCATAACAACTTTAAACATAAATAAATAAAAGTCTAAGTACTACTATAAATCTATTATCTATATAGATTTTTTAAAAAAATTAAATTTCACTTGTCTAATTACTAATATTTTAGATACTTTTAAATATTATTTGTATAATTTTTTTACACTTTTTTTCTCTCTCTCTCTCTCTCTATACATATATGGAGGTTAAATGAAGAATTTTTAGACATATTTTCTTTACGGGTAGTTTACAAAAAATTAGGTAGCTTCAAACATTATTTGTGAATAATATAGAATATTTTAGATGTTTTTATAGATGTTATAAAATATTTTAAGTGTTTTTAATATTTATATATCACACTTAAAAAGAATATTTTGCTAAAAAAAGAAACATTATATACACATTGTAAATGTTAATAGAAACAATCTTCAGTGTTCGTCTTTGATTTTGTCACAACAAAACTCATAAAATCGGTGAAGTCAAAATTTGTACGTAAAGTCTATCTATACTAAAAAAAGGTAGCTTCAAAATTCTTTATCTAATTTCTTTTTTTCCTTATCTAATTCCTTCTTATTATCTAATTGTATAGAAATGTTCAGATTTTGTTCAATCCTCTAATTGTATTTGTATCATATTCCATAAAATCGATTTAACAAAAAAAATCTCATAACATCCGATAAGTAAAAAAAAAGTACGTAAAATCTTTACTAAAATAAAAAAGGCTTTATTTATTATTTAATTGTATGAAAATCTGTTCTGATTTTATAGTACGTACTATAAATTGTGCACCCGTGTTCAGGAGCTATTCAACGGGCAAGGTTTGTGGAAATAACTCATTTAGTACTTCTGTCATGTACATACGGTATGTATTTGTATTACACATACTAGAAAATTGTGCACCCCGTGCATCGCACGGACTCTGTACTAATAAATGACCTTAAAATTGTGCACCCCGTGCATCACCTGTGTTCACATTTAGCCTATTACAAGTCACGTACAATAAGATTTGATAAATAGCCTTAATTTTGTGCACCCCGTGCATCGCACGGGATCTGTACTAGTCAGTTATAAAATATGGGTTTGACCCGATTTTGACTGAATTTTTTATGGCTAAATATTTAATTTTAGTTGAATTAAATATTGTAGAAAAATTCTACGTTGCGAGTAGATACTCGTAGTATATTTATTTTCTCAAAACTGATTTTCGGTGAGTGAGA